GGTAAAAATGTATATGGTTTCTGGATCAGATCCACCCCACCAACAATGCAACTCAACTAAAGCTTAAGCTACTTGAAGTATACCTGTTTTTGAGAGTTTTCCATCTAAGATACTAAACTGAATTATATTATTCCATGTAAGGTTTTTATTTCTTCCAGCAGCCTATGCTTCTTTTCTATATATGTTTTACTAGTTGAAACCTTCAGAAATAATCCCTAGCTGTTCCCCCACAATAAGAGTGAAAATTATGGTTTCCCTTGATGTGAGGTTAAAAAAAGAGAGAGAGATGTAATAATTAGATATAAAAAGAGAGATATATAATAATATAATTTTGCAGGATAGTATTCTAACTATATATTTGAAATTGTGGTTGATTCTCTCTGTGATCCTAAATCAACCACTTAACTATTTAGGAGTCCAGCATGGTAGGGAATACGTAAGCTTCCATTTGAATCATGACATTTATAACAGCATTAATACATTCTCCCAGACATCCCCAGTTCAGGGGCCTTCTTTGCTGAAAATGTCTATCCCCACATAAACTTTAATATGAAAATGTATTAGTCAGTTAACATGAATTATATAGTTCAGTATTTGGTGACTTTTACCCCAAATTGATCTTTACCTTCATCTTTTCTAACCTAAAGACAGTGATTTCTTAACACATGAACTACTATTTGGTTGATATTTAGCAAATAAATTGCATATATATGTGTACGTGTATGTACATGTATAAATATATATACATATGTATGTATATATTTATATACATATAAATCGTATGTATATATTTATATACATATAAATCGTATGTATATATTTATATACATATAAATCGTATGTATATATATAGATTACATATATTTACACATACATACATATTTGAGATAGTGAATAAGCAAGATAGCCTATGTTCTATATAATACTATATGTAACCTTTTTTCTTAATGACTCTTAATTTTTTTAAAAGTCACTACAAGTAACTTGATCTTCCTAACTCAGGAAAAAAATCTCAAGCTGCTGAAAAATTTAACCTGTAATAATGCAAACATAACAGGAATACAAAACTATGCGTTATCTTTTAAATTTACTTAAACGAGATTATTTAAAACATGTGTAAGTTAAAGTTTTATTAAAAGCAAATGGAAAATGTGCAGGGAAATGCACATAAAGGATACAGGTTTGAGGCAGAATGAATATTTTATATTTACACATGCATAAAAGCACAAAATGAACATTTTTTCACAGGAAATTTAGGTAATATACATTCGCAGAAATTCATTACAGGAGTCCCCCATGATGGCCCAGTGGCTTAGAGAAGCCTTCTCCCAAGGGACACTCAGTCATGCAGGCACATGCCTTTCCCCAAGGAGGCACTCGGACACGCAACTCTAGCCTCCAACTCTCTTGTATAACTGCATCTTCAATCCTCTACTTTTACATAATCTCTTTCCCCTTTCAAACTTCCTTGGTTCCCTCCCCCACATTTGACCCCACTCTGGTTTCTAAGACCAGGTCTTTTGCTGAGCAGCAAAAATATAAAGAATGCTACAGAAATAGTAAATAGTCTAGCCCTATTTCAGTTTTCTTACTCTCCCTTTAAGGCCTGAGTCCCCCTTGAGAGCCGAGTTACCCCTCCACCCACGCAAGCTCCTCCAAAGCTATAGACCCCTTCGCAGCTTCCACTCCCATAAACTCAGACTGTCCCTCCACTAATGAGCTCTTGCATATCCCTTGATTTTTAGCCTCACCTTTGTGGGTCTCAGTTTTCGCTCACAGATACCTTAATCTCACTGTCTCTGCACCAACTAAAATTAAATAGGTAACTGTATCTTTGATCCTGTCAACGTTTACATTATCCTTTTGCCCTTTCAGATTTCCTGGACTCCAAGTCCTAATGTTCTTCTGCTACCCTGTTGGCCAAGATGCCCCATTCACCTTTGTACCTTCAATAGTCTTGCTTTTGCTTCTACCTTCTCCATGGCCCATGACCTCTGAGCCCTCTTCTCTGCTAGATAAATCTTATCAATTTATAGACATTTGCTACCAATGGGTAAAGTTATTAAAACAACTTTTACCTAATAAGTGCTCAATTGATTATTTCTGTTATCTATCTCCATATTTGCCTCTAAAATGTATGTGTGTGGTGGAATTAATGAAGCAGTTAGTATCATAAAAAGGTGTTAATTTAAAACCAAAAGGGAAAAACCTGCATTGCCTGTATTGTGAATCTTACTAATGGCTTTTATAATATGCATATCTGGGAGATGCTCAGGAGAGATGTTAAACTGAGGTAGATGGGCATGTTAAAGAGAAGCAAAGGTCCATTCCACTTGCCCTCTACAGAGAGGAGGATGCTTAATTCACTCAATAGGATTTTGGCAAATGCAATAGCAAAGTGGCATAGCTTCTTATATTCCAAAAGAAACTTTAAATTTGAAGTCTCAGATAACTCACACTCTAAAAATATGAGAATCCCTTCCAGAAATGTAGCCATGCCAACAGTGCTCACAGGTACAAATGCTCTCTGTTTAAAGCAGAAGAAAAGGGAAAATGGGAAGCAGAATATCCTGAATATTCAGTCTAAATTTGAGTCATTTTACCCACAAGATATGTACTATCACCAGGCTGTCAATTACAATTCTAAGAGTGAAAAACGAAAATTCGGACCTTCTTATGATGGATCGCATAGTCATGTGGAAGGTGGCAGAGTGAAAAGTTGACCCGGTTACTAGGGCCAGGAGTCATTACAGACACTGACAGTGACGCTTCCACAGGTACTGGACCCAGACTGCCTGGGCTTGAATGTCAGTTTGTGTAACACTGGCTGTCACATCACTCAGTCTTCTCAGTGTTCTCATTTGTCGAACAAGCTTAATAGTAGAAGCTACTTCATGGGATTGTTATGATGAAGAAATGAGACAATAAAATTGCTTAGAACAATAGTTGATTATTATTAACATTGGTCAGGTCAAATATGCTTTGCTGGCCATAGTATGTGCCATGAGCTTGCTTGGTGGTGGGCAGGTACCAGGCAGTACACACATGGCGTTGGCCCTGCTCAATCTCTTTCAAGAGATGGACAGCATGGCCTCTTGGTCACAGAAGTGGTTCTTCAGAGATTCAGGTATGTGAAGGGAAAAAACAAAATGCAACAGTCCCCCTTATCTGTGGTTTCACTTTCCATGGTTTCAGTCATCCAAAGTCAACCACAATCTGAAAGTATGAAATGGAAAATTCCAGAAATATGCAATTAATAAGTGGCATAGCATTCTGAGTAGCATGATGAGTTCCTCCCACCTGGGATGTAACTCCTCCGTTTGTCCAGAGTCTCCAAGCTGTCTGCCCTGGTGCCATCATTCACAGGGTAGCACTCCCAGTTATCAGCTCAATATTGTGGCATCACAGTGCTTGTGTTCGAGGATTCCTTATTTTACTTCACAATGGCCCCCAAAGCGCAAGAGTAGTGATGCTGGCAATTCACATATGCCAAAGAGAAGCCGTAACATGCTTCCTTTCAGTGGAAAGGTGGAAGGTCTCGACTTAATAAGGAAAGAATAAAAATTGTATGCTGAGGTTGCTGTGATTTATGGTAAGAATGAATCTTCCATCTGTGAAATTGTCAAGAAGGAAAAATAAACGTGTGCTAGGCTTGCTGTTGCACCTTAGACTGCAAAAGTTATGGCCACAGTGCATGATGAGTGCTAAGTTAAGATGGAAATGGCATTACATCTGTGGATGGAAGAGAAACACGTTCCAATAGATGGCAATCCCGTTCGGTGCTATCTAAGGTTTCAGGCATCCACTGGCTGGGGGGTGGGGTTCCTGGAGCATATCCCCCGAAGATAAGGGGGGACTACTATAATACCAGTCTTTCTGCCTCCTGTGATTCAGAGATATGTAGGCCCACTTAGGCCAAACAAAGAGAGGCCTCTAAAGTCCAACCAACTCAACAATGTTCCACACTGAGCTCTGAAGCCAGAGACCCCACTGTCTGGTAAAAAAGTGTTCCTTTGCCTTGCTTTATTTTCCACACTCTTATTTCCCTTGGGTTGGGATGTCTGATAGAATGAAGAGTTTGATATTTCTTAGCACCCTGTCTTTCCATATGCTGTCCTTATTTCCTTATCACTAAAACCCCACTCTTCTGAATTTTAATATAAAATCAAGTAGGCTTCAGCCGTCAGAATAGCATTACTTTTTTAATTATCAGTTTCTAGGATGGGGCTTTATTTTCTTTTTAGGAGTCCTGTGTTGGAACAGGCAAGTCATTACCATTAATAAAACCAAATCCTAGTGTTTCATTGGTATTCCAGCTCTCCATAGGATCCTCACACAAGCAAATACATATTTGATTCCAATGGGGCTCTTTTCCTGTGCAAATGCTACAGGATTCTGCATTTTATTGTGGCAGTAAGCTAAATTGGCTGTCCAAATGAATGGAGACACTTAGAATTTTGCCATATACCAAACTGTCTCGGAACCTATCTCCTCTACGAAACACATTCCAATTAGCATTTGCCAGGAATACTTTACTCACCACTAATCACGAAAAACTTAATTTTTAAAAGCCTACCTTCAATTACTAATTGTACAGACATTGTTCTGGTTATTTTGTTTGAGTTCTAATATTTTTTTTTTTTTTTGGCATGCCTCTCACCTGTTTCCTCAATTGTCTCTAAGCATTTTAAAGGCTGCATCTTGTTAACTTCACAGTCATTTTTACTGTTTAATATACTTACTCATTCATTTCACAGATATTTGTTGAGTATTCACAATGCTCAGGTATTATGGGGTAAACAGTTGGACAAGGCAATGTATCCTTTCCCCAAAACTCATAGGTTCTACTTCCATATAGTAAAGTATGTAGAGTAGAAGATTAAATAATGTTGTAATGCAGTTACTTTTCCTGAATGAAAAACCTTTTTTAATCACTCCAAAGTAACCACAACTTCACTTCAAACTCCAGTGGAATTACTTTTTTCTCTCTCTCTACACAGGATAGTGGCCAAAGCCTCCAAGAACCTCATGTCCACACAAAGCTTAGGGATTGTATTTGGACCCACCCTCCTGCGAGCTGAAAATGAAACAGGAAACATGGCGATCCACATGGTCTACCAGAACCAGATAGCTGAGCTCATGCTGAGCGAGTACAGTAAGATCTTCAGCTCGGAGGAAGACTGACAGACAAGACAAGCTACTGAATACGTTCACATCTGTCTTGATGCCTAATATTTTTACATTTCTGTAAACATATTTCTGAAATATTTTTTGCCTTTCAAGCGACAGATGCCTCATTTTGTGAAAACTTAATGATGATTTTGTGTTTAAGTTCCAAACATTTGAATAAAATAATTGACAATATTTGCTATATGTGTTCTACATTAACCCCTTTGGTGCTATTCCTTCTAGCACTTCTAGGAACACATCATGCATGCCTCATGCTATTAAATAACATGCAAAGAACAGCACATATTCAAAAAATGGCCTTAATGCTGCTCCAGGGAAATCGGGTGTGCGGTTGTGTATGTGGAGATATGAGTGAGTGAGTGTGGTTGGGAGTAGGGGTGCATGTGCACACATGTGCTTTCCCAAGATCCAGGCTGCCTTAGGCATGACTCCATACTGTTACTTGGACACGGATAGAACACAAAGAAGTAGGAAGGCAGAAGCTATTAATTTGTAAATAGAATGAAGGAGATCTGGTTCACAACCAAAACAGATATATTTCATCTTTTCAGAATATTTCTGTATATATAAATATAGTCCAGCTATTTTCAATGCTATACAGTGAAATTTATAAATATAACATGTTGAATGGCAATTTTTCTCAAGAAAAAATGACAGTTCAAAGCATTTGCCATTGAATTTTTTTTATAAATACTATTTGTAGTCCCATAAACTCACTATCTTATAAATTAGAAGCAAAATTAGTGTCCTGCAATTTTGATCTTTATATTACACAGGAATTGCCTGACTGCTCATTTTTAATGCTAACATCCATTTTGAATCTTCATCAAACTGTATATCTTCCTTTTCCCTGGCTATGTCATTTTATGTAGAATTTTTATTATGCTTCTGAGGATGCTTTATTGGTGAATTACATTAAATCCATCTAGAAAAATAACTTTTTTTAAAGGCCTTTTTTTTTTCATATGCCCTAAGGATTACTTGACTAGACTTAGATTGCTTTATCCATTTGATGGTTAATTTCAGTTGTCATGGATAAACAAAAGGGTAACTGTCTAGAATATATCAAACATTGTTTTATTTTGAAAAGTATGTTCTAGTTGAACACATCTCATACCGGTTTTATGAAAGTATTCTGCTGATAAAAATGTAGACTTATGTTTGACAGCTTTTTAATCAAATTCAAAGGGAATAAATAAAACTAATCCAGTGTGATAAAGAGTAAGTCTAGTTATCGATTTGTTCATAAAATGAAAAATAAAGCATGTAAATAAAACGCGTGAAGCACAGATCCAGAGCAAACACTTAGAGCAATAATGAGCTCCGCGGCATAAGCTGTTTGACAGCCAGATGTGCAGGCAGCTCCAACATCCATGGAGCTGCCTGAGGAAGCGGAGGACTCCCTTGTCCCTCTTGAATGTCTTCATTTTAGCAATGGCGCCAGTAAGTGGGCTTGTAGCCAACAACAGAGAAGCCACAATATGTGAAGTGCAGTTTCATCCAGTATGACGTATACACACACGAAAAGCCGAAAAAAGTCACATGAAACAGACCCCCATGATCTAAAGTCACCAGTAACAGCGCGCTGGCAGACTTGCGAGCTTTAAGCGATTCTTATATGTAAAACTGTAATTATGCCTTTCAGAAAAACATGGAGACATGAAACCAGTTTCTGGCGTTCTATTTCAAGTCATTCTCATTTCCATGCAATTCCGTATTCTCAATTAGGTCTTTCCCAAGACTTTGATTACTTCCCTTTTTGAAGCATTGGGGGAGAGTAGATTCAGTCGTTCTAGCATTAAAATCTTATCCCTTCACACGGGTCCATCTTTAAAGTTATTCTGGAAGCATCAGCCAGAGAGAACCAGCAATGAAAGCCAAAGAGAAGTGGCACTACCTGCTTTGGGCAGGGACTCACAGCCCCTTGTCTCTGCTGCTTTCCAGATTTATAATCTTCAAAAGCACCAGCTTCTTGATTTCCAATCTGATGGGATTTAGCCTGATTTAAACCCCAGCTGTGTCCTGTCCCTGCCTGCTAAGGGCATTTAATCAGAGAATGTGTTTCCTCTCTGGGAAAAGGCCATTCCAAGGTGCTGAGCCAAAGTGCCCATCACAGGATCTGACTTAACACACTACAGGCATAAAAAGGGTTACACCAAAAGGTTATTAGATTCCATAACATCTCACATACAGTGACAATGGCCATATCAAGTCTTCCATGTTTAAAAATTGAGATTATAAGTATACTAGGTTGACTAAAAGGTTTGATTTCATATAACTGGTCAATATTCTCCAGCAAAAAGTCATGAAACACCAGTGAGCGTTTCCTTATCTCCTAGTTTGAACCAGGCAAAATTCTAGGCACTGGTGACACAAATATTAAATAAGACCAATATTTCTACCCTGGGTAGTTTCGGTCCAGTGAGGGAGACTATCCCTAACAATTACAGTTCAATACAAGATGAGGTGCCTTAGCCGTCTTGGTAAGCGTGTAGACCCAGGATTCAGCACCTATATTTAAAGATGCTCAAAATGTATTATTGAATGAATGGGCAAACAGAACAGAAGCTATTCCAGACATATTAACAATGCTCAGTGGTTGACAAATACCAGAAGACTCAGCTACAGACAGTAACTCTCTGATTCTGTTACAAAGTCAGATGAGGCTTCATCGGGAAGGTAAGCTTTTCAATCTAATCTTGACCAATGAATAAGATTTACCAAAGAAAAATGCAGAAGACACACCAGGAAGCAGGAATGGCATGAACAGAGTCATGAAAGACCTGGCATCTCCAAGGAAAAATGAGAAGTTCAGCGAATAGAGGGTGAAGTGCATGCGTAGCAATTTTGGAATATGAAGCTAGAGAAAGATGTTGGGATCAGATATAGGCCATGATAACATATTCAGATTTTATCCTGTAGGCAAAAGGGATCCCATAGAGGTTGTAAAGCCAGAAAGCTATAGAGGAACTTCGTTTCTTAGAGAATGTCTAAACTCACCAATGGGCAGGAGAAAAATTAGTTTGAGGAGACTAGCATTTTCTCATGTATGTGTTTGTGTGTGGAATAAAATTATAATCTTATATTCTTAGGGTCAGTTCTAATTATGATGATGAAACATTTTAAGAAATTATAACTTAGTCTGTAGAATGGAAACACAAGTCCCTAGAAAATCCAGCTAGTTATTATGTCCCGTTTCAGCATGCCTTTACCTACCCAGGATATCAGAGGTTTCCTCTCTTTCTTATTGACACAGAAAGCTTCTTGGAGATGGTATATATTTCATCTTATATGTTGACATTCTGACTTTCTTAGCATGTGCCATATGACAGGATCACCGTGCCACAGCTAGTAATTGAAAGCCATATGATGGTTCTCCCTATCCAATTAGAAAACAAAGGATCCAATTAAGAAAAATTTTAAAAGCTGTTAAAAGGAAGCAGTCACTTGCCAATGGTGCTGTCCTTACAGTTTAACACAGCTAGAAATTGACCTGTACTTCTCTTTTCCACATTTATTTTTGTGAATTATAAGTTAATCACCCTGTCAATTCCTAATTAAAAGGCCCTGCAAAGATTTTCAGCCAAAAAGGACTGTTGCTAAGGGTTCTGGGTCAAATTGCTCTGTTGTCAAAAATGAGAAATCGAACCAAAACAACATCAACTCTCTCCCAGGAAACTTACATCTTAATACCAAAAAATGAAGACTTTCTGGAAATACAACAATCACATTTTATATTTTCAACACTGTTTGATCTTATCTTTAGAACATAGATAGCTCCTTTTCTCTTTCTTTAAACCAAGGGTTGCAAATTCAGATGCCTAGTGGGGCCAGGCAGTGATAGAAATGAGTCAAGAGGAACAGGCAGTAAGCGTATGAAGCGGTAGCAGCTGTGGAAAAGTCAAGCTTAACACCTGGCCAAAAGGGTCAGCTTCTACTCAGCTGGAGCTGATGTTGCTTATGTGGGAATGTGGGCACAATGTTGCCAGACCTTCAGCTCTTTCGTGAAAAGCCAGAAATTCAGGATCTTACGTGAAATCTGATTTTTAAGGGCACCAAATAAAACACAGCTCAGCGGACTCAGCCCAAGGACCTCAGTGTCACAAAGCTTGCTCCCCAGAAAGTGGTCGCACATGGAGCAGATTGTGGGGATGTGCGAATGAGCCACAGCAATGGGAAAGAGCAGAAAACCTGCACACTTTGCACTTAGGAGAACTTGCTGTGTCGACCCCGAGCAAATTATTTACTCTAGCTGGGTCTCTGTTTTCTACTTGTCTTATTTTGCCTTTCCGGCTATGTAATGGAATCATATGAAGGAAATTAAAATGGGTAATACACCATGAAATTCCAAGTTATCCCTAAAAGATGTGGATGATGGACTTCCAGTTTATTAATAACTTTATGTTCTGAAAACAATAAGAAGGAAGGTTGGGACCTGACTCAAAAAAAAATTCTGAATGCCATACTAAGATGTGTTATCCTAAGTCTCTATTCAATTTTGAGACCCTGAAGGTCTTTTTTTAGCGGGGAAGTAACTTTATCAAAGCTGTAAAGATTCTCATGGCAACATTATGGAGTGGAATTTGAAGCAGGAAGAAATTATAGGCACCATTTCCAGACAGAAGATTATTGTTATAGGACTGTTAATGCAAGTCTCAATTCAGAGAGCAGCAGCCAATAGAGAAATTGATATTATGGTGCATCATGCTATTAAACTTCTTCAGAGTTTTACCTGCCATCTCTTCATTATGACTGCTAAGTGCAAAGACCATCTGTTGTTATGCAGAACTCCCATACCAAGTCTGTTTCTGGCTTACTTGCTGGGTTGCAATGGAGGTTAATTCTAGATTCTGGCAGTGATTTGCCATTTGACAGTAACCATCTTAAGCTATTTTGGCCAAGTCATGCCCAAGTCAATGAGTGTGCATGCTACCAGCATCATCCCCAGATAATCATAGGGTCACTTCTGTCATACCTGGCTCTGACCTCTCCCTCCTTTTTCTTGAGCCAATATTGCTCCTCTGGCCACCCAGAGGACCATCAAGAAATGAGTCATGGGAAGACTAATTTTGATTAGCTAACATTTATAGAGCACTTGTTATATGCCATGAACTGCAATTGATATATATTGTTTTATTTAATCTTGATGACTCTACAGAGGGAGACACTATAAT